CCCAGAAGAAATAGAGGACGATTCATGTTTGGTCCACTACCCTCTGGTAAACTCACAGTTTGCTATTGAAGCCATGGCCATAGAAATCCTTGATTTACCCATGAAATATATTGTGATTCATTCCAGTTCGCAAAATGTTAGTTTACCAGAGGGTAACTTCAAGAGTGGAGTTCCAGAACAATTTCAGAGCATTGTCCCGTATGGATATGAGACGAGATGAGTCAAAATCGGGTAACCACAAACTGAATGACTTCTGGATGCTAAAATCCCGGTTATTCTCTTTTCCAATGGTCCAACATGTTTGGACCCACAAATGTTGGCTGCCGAAAAGCCGTCATGTTTTCTGCTTATGTCCTCATTTAATTTAGGCCCGTTTTTCCCTTTTTGTTTACCCATTTTCTTCCCAAACTTCCACCCTGACGTCCAAAAATCCAGGCGTCTCAGAGAACAGCCAGATCTTCCCTGGGACGCTACCACAAGGGGCCGTGGTGGAAGAGGTCCAAGTGGTTGGAAACAGGCTCAGCTTCACGGATTTCTCCATGAGACTTGGCCAAAGCCATTGAGTTTGGGGAGGTTTGGGCTATTTGACTTCAAATCATGTGGCATTTTCCACCAAACTCAGATGGTGTAGATATATGGAATGTATAGATTCATTGGAATATATTGGAATCTATTATTCGCACTTGGGATATTTGACTTCGATCTATATCTATGCTCCCAAATAAGTGTATTTTAGTGGGAACACATATACAGTAAGCCATTTAATTTAGAAGTGCTCAGGCGCGGACCTCCGAGCGGCTGGGTGAATCTGCGGGAGAACGGCCGGGACATGCTGGTCATCGACACCGAAGGTGCGAAGCAAGGGCCGTTGTGATGGGTTGGGGCGTTGGGTGTGCTATATATATATATATCGGCTCTCTCTCTCTCTCTCTATATATTATTACCACAGAATCATTTTGATAGAATATGGACATTTCACACAATTGACTTAATTGACCATAAAACTGAGGAATATCTTTGAGAATCCCATATCCTATCCAAGTACTTCAGGATGATTATCTATATCTACCAGTGGGATCATCTCAAAGGCAAGGACGATAAGTTTGCACATCCGGTCCCTGCTCGACGTGCATTGCATAGAGAATGAAGCCATCATCCCAGTGTGTTCGCAGCTGCCACGCTGAGCGGTTTCCAGGCCTCTCCACGTTGAACATCGCCGAAGCGTTGAGAGAAACTCGAAGGATGGGTTCAGCGAATGCATCACTGCGACGTCAATGTAGATGATGGTTGGAATGAGACAACATTCCCAAATGGCCGATTTTGTCAGGTTTGTCAAGATATTTGATCATCATCACTGCATTTCCTTTGAACGAACAATATGAAAATCACGTGTTTTTAATTGACGGTCAGGCATGCTAGTTCAACAAGGGGTATCTTTCATTTTAATTGCTTGGATGATGAGAGGACCTCGCGCGTGTTGGACATTTTGGACCTTTCGCCCGAGTGTTCCATAGTGCTCCCCATGTGTAAATCAAGAACCAATTGATGCTGGTCAAATACCATCGTTTCTTGAGAAAATTTCACAATCACTATTAATGATTGGACTATACCAGGATTGTGAATAATACAATGACAATCACAATTCACAATACAATGCTGGTCAATAATTTGCTGCACAGCTGCATTTTATTGAATGATTTCTGACTATACCATCACTTGATGTTGGAATTGCGTGGTTACCCGGCCTGGTCAACGTTTACAGTTTGCGAACTGGAAAATGGCCCATAGAAATAGATGGTTTACCTATTAAAAATGGTGATTTTCTATAGCTATGTTAGTCATAACCAGCGGGTATATCGTGTTTTTCTGTGGCTGTGTCGGCTGGTTTCCAGCAGCAGCTCAGGAAAGTGCTGGGATGAATTTCGTTCCTCCCGCCAATGTGGAGCCGCCCTTGTCTGGCTGGGCCAAGCTTTCTGAGATGCGCCTAGTCTGTGCTCCCCCAAAAATCGCTGGATTTTGAGGTTTTAAGGCTGAGATCCGCAGATTTTAAGGCTGGGAAATTGACGATTAACCACGGGATTTGGGGGTGCCCAGAAGTTGGGCAAGCAGCTGGGTCCTGGGTAACATTCCATGCATAAAACCCAGCATGACAGTCGACCTGCAGATCCTGCAGATTTGTTTCCGGCTTTCAGATTACTTTGAGGTATCAGAAGCCCGAAGGAAAAATGGACGTAGCAGCTGCTGCCGCAGAAACCGACGACAGCAAGAAACGACGGAAGAGGCGAACGGTCGCTGCAACTTGGCTGACGTGCTGACGTACTGGCTGTGATCCTCAAAGGTGACTATGTAATTATATTGTAATTATGGTGAGTTATTTTTGGTGGGGAATCAACATTTATTTTTTGGCGAACATTCATATAATCATCATGAATATTATACTCCATATCATACAAATAAACCCCACAACGTATCCTTATAATTTATTTAAAAACGTCCAGAATCATCCATATAGAATAAACATGAATAAACCATAACCATAACAACCCCCAACTATCGAAACTGATGTGCAAAAAATCCAGGGCCCTAAAGCCTTGATTCGTTGCCCTTCCCGGGCACCGGGTTCTCGAAGCCGAGGCAAAGGAGATGCCGAAGCTGGAAGAATTGGCCCATGCCACGGAGGAAACCCTGGTGGATGTCTTAGGCTTCCCAGAGCAGGAGCTGGGAGCTGGGAGCTGGAAACGGTTTTATATCGGTGTTGAGGTTGGCAAACTCCAGGAGATTCTTCATCTACAAGAGTAGATCATATATAGAATAGTATATAACTATACACAATATGAATAAATAATATAATGTATATTATATATTGATTATATCTATATATTAATATATTATAATTATGTACTTACAAACGGGTATTCGGAATCAAGTGTTGCTTTGGGTGCATCATTTGCCCAAAGTCTGTTCCCATCTTGCTGGGAGAGCTGGGAGGAAGCAAAGCACTTTGCCATGCTCAATGATGAAAGCAAGCAGTGCCTTTGCAGTCTTCGGGTGACTGCCAGAGTGGTCAGGGGAATTCCCCACGACTGGTAGGGGAAAATTGCACGCTCGGAATTCCATTGTTTCAGGATGTTTTGACTTTAGTTCAATTCCAAAGATCACCGCAATCTTGAGTGAGATTCATCAACCAACAGAAAGTCATATGGGTATGGGTCAATACCTATAGATACATTTTTAGTGGGATGAACATCCATTTACCAGCTATTTTGGGGTTCACTAGGTACCAGGGTTTTGACCCATCCCCATATTGATAGTATCAGCCTGAACTCGCCAGATGACAATGCACCAGCTGCACCGGCCCCAGTGAACCTGCTGTGTTACGGTTTTGGATTCTCACAGCATGTCATGTTCTTACCATTTATATACCCTCTGGTTATTTAACCTAGCCATGGGACATGGCCCATTTATAGATGGTTTACCTATTAAAAATGGTGATTTTCCATGGCTATGTTAAATAACCAGATGGTACATAATGCATGATATGTCTCCATGTGCACACACGCTCCTGAATCCCACTCTGTCGAATCGTGGGAGCCGCAGTTAACTCTAGGGACCCAAACACGTGTGTGCCAACTTTCATAGCCGCTGAGAATTGAGGCCTTAATCCCATTGCAACCAGTTTGAAGATGTTCCATGATCTCAGAGACAGATACTGCAGTATTCTGCAGAGTGGGATTCTTGGGTCTTGTCTCTTCTATTTGCACCGTTTGCAGCAAAACATGCAACCCTTTCAATGTCGGGTTCCTAACACCACCAACTTCACTACTAGAACGGTGATCCCATTTACAAAGTGGCTAAACTTGCCCCATTCCATCCATGGGTTCATCATCATTGGTCCTATGAAGACTTCCATTCAATTGGCAAATCTCCCATTCAGAGACAGCCAAATATAATATTGTTGGTCATATCCCCCTTAAATCTCAAGTTCTCCATGATGACATATGAAATATCCTTACAATATGCTTAAATCATCTTAAATCCCAAGTTGTACTGGTGAAATCACACTTTTTCATCGTGAGCTTCCCCAGAAAGTGATGGCCTTCCAGGCATCCCACGTTGAGCCTTAAACGTTTAAACGGACCAGGCGTGTGATCACCGAGTGCCGCGCCTTGATCGACATGTCACCCTTGGAACGGCAGGAGGCCTTCGAAAAGCTGCGCAAAGCCTGGCCGCAAGGCGCGTATCATATTATACCATTATATGATACTCGATTATAGTGAACTCACCCCGCCCGATCCAAAATCTTGCGTTTAGTTGGGGGGGAGTTCCCGGGAAAGTCGCCCCAACATGCAGTTGGGGGACGTAGTTCCATGCGGGAATGACACTTGACTGCAACGTTGGGGGACCTTCGATGGCATTGAGTAGATGACATTTGCATACAACCAATGTATACTACAGGTAAATGCAGATTTGGGCTGCTCATACCATTTCATATAATATATATATATGTTGAGTTTCTTGTCTTCATCTTATGCTGGTTTTGAAGCTATATGATATAATATTATTATACACATTCTATAATGATTGATACTTTCTCACCGGTGCAGGACCCTTCCCAAGCTTCGCCAAGCCTACGGAGAATCTTCCACCTGTGACGGGGCGAATGTCAACTGGATATGGGGCTGTGTCAACACCGGTTAATCTATGGTTAATCTATGGTTAATCTATGGTTAATATATGTATAATCTATGGTATCTATGGTTAATGGTTAATAGTTACCCTCTGGTGAACTAACAGTTTGCTATTGAAAATGGCCCATTTATAGTGGATTTACCCATCAAAAATAGTGCTGTTCCACAGCAAAATATTAGTTTACCAGAGGGTACCATAGGTGGGGGAATAACCATCCAGCATCCAGCTATGACTTAGGGGCCCCCAGCACTGGTGCACCATCCGTCGGGTGGTTGCTGGTTTTGACTTATAGCCATGCCAGCTTCCATCCCCGACAAAAGCCCATCTTCCATCTAAAACACCTCCAGGAGATGGGTTTCTTGAAAAATTGAGGGGAATCTCGCCAAAATCTCCATGGTTTATCATCACTTCCGTTAACATAACTGTCATTTAATTGGTATGACCCAATTTCAGACACACCCGGATGAAGCCAGTTGAAGATGGGCCGGCCGAGGTCAGTAACAACTTGCTTCCCAAGGGCACCTGCTTCCCCTTGAAGCGCCCCAGCACGAAGACCCCGGCCGTTGGCCAACCTCTGGCCTCCGCCTTAGATGGCAAGCCGGGTTTCTTTGCACCGGAGACCATGAAAAATGTGCTGGAACAAAAGATGCTGGGTTGATGATCGGATGTGGTTGATGGGGTGATGGTTAACATTGGTGAAAACGAGGTATGTGAGCAGATTCATCATATGTGTCACTTTTTTTTTTGATGTTGATACTAGGTTATTGCGGTCATGATCGGTTGATGTGGACTAATCTGGTAAACCCAAGAATAAACCATCCCCTATTTCATCAGAAAGGGGTTGGTATCAAGCATGACACATCGAGGGTGTACTATTGGGTTTACCCCATTACTGCTGCTATGTTTGCTGCTGGATACAGGTCGGGAAGGTTGGGAAAGTGTGGAGAAGATGCCGGGTAGAGGGATGGTCAAAGGTTCCTAAGTCACAGCCTCGGTCCCTACTTCACAGAAGGTCAGAGACAAGGTCTTGGAATAGTGTCACAAAAATGATTGCATGGCAGCCCAAATCCAAAGTTGTGGAAATCTCGGCACCAGCCACTCAAAAAAAACCTTCAGAACAACCATTGTGTGCTCCGACTCGAACCGTCCTCTTAATTGGAGTACCCCAATGTTATCCCATACTGTATCATATCCACCTCACACCACCTGATGCCTTCTGAACATTTTCAGGATCCCCTATACTTGCTTGTAAAAACATGTAAAAACCATGGTTTCAACCGCAACTTTCACCAACAAAACCAATCCATTCCGATATTTTTTGATATGCTATCCTGGTTCTAGTTGGGCACTTTCCGATTTTGATATTGGTTAAACAGTTGTTTTTCATATGTTGGCCTTAAATGAATCATTCCACTTCATTATTGCCGCTAAAATATGCTAAAATCACCATGTATTGCCAATGAAATTATACTATAGTAACCCCCAAAAAGATAGAACAGTTATTTTGTGGAATTTTTGTTGCACCATTTTAGTAGGATTTTACCAACTTCTAAATTCTTTTTGGGGTTTGTTGATGAATTCACCGTAATTTTGCCCAGGAAAGCCCTTCAAAGCCTGGTGCCCAAGAGCTCTCCGTCCGACGGGTCACAAGAAGTGGCTGCAGATCCCTCAGTGGCCACGATGGACCTCTGCCGCCTTCCAACGACCAAAGCGGAGCCGGAGAAGCTGTCGAAGACAGTGACTTGACTACAAAAGTCCATTTACCCTCTGGTTATGACTAACATAGCCATGGAAATCATGGCCCATAGAAATAGATGGTTTACCTGGGTTTAGCTATTAAACATGGTGATTTTCCATGGCTATGTTAAATAACCAGATGGTATATAATGTGATCTAATGGTGATTTAATGGGATTTAGTGATTCAATGATTTAATAGGATTTTAATGTTAGTGAAGCAAGATCATAAAACCACTATGGATTCATGGTTGGAATCCCACCGATAAACATGGATAATTGTGGATGGTTTACTATTGCTTCAGCAACATTATGGGGGGTTCTTAAGATAATCTCCAAGTCGCCACGGGTTCAGTGCTTATCAATGGTGTAACTTTAGATGATTTGGGGGACCCCCATTTTCCATGTGATCTAATGGTGATTTAATGGGATTATATGAGGCATTAATGGTGATTAATAGGGATTTTAATGGGATTTTAATGGTGACAAATGGTGTAACTTTAGACTTTAGATGATTTGGGGGAGCCCCATTTTAGGACATCCCCCCATCATAGATAGAGATCCCCACTTAAGAATTTCCTCTACAAAGTGTGGAGTCCATGTTGGCCACTTAATTTTTGAGGGGGATATATTGAGGTCCAACAACATAGGGCAATGAACAACTACTCCCCAGTGTGGAAGTCGAAGCGCATCTTGAGGAGCCCCCAATTTCCCCCATGCGCCGCGTTGCAGTTTACACGTCATTTTAGATATTGCATGGACTTTCAGGTCTGGGTGTAAAAGCCAACCTAGATTATGATAATTTTTCTGTATAACTATAATATTATGATATAATATGATATTACAGTATATTGCGACTAACCCGAGGTTTTCCAAAGATCAAAACTGCAATATATTCCCACAATTTATGGCTTTGGATGGATTAATAGATTTACCCCATGTTTTATGAAAGAAGGAAAAATGTCGATCACGCGTTGTTGGTTGGTGGTATACACGAATTTACTCCATGATATAAGTTATGTTTTTTTTGGTTGACTTATATCATTGAGTGAAAAGTGAACATGAAAAACTAATCTGCAAAAGGTGGTACCCATTTGTTTTATCATATGGTTGTACTCGTTCTTTTTCCAAGCCAGGTGATCATGAAAGGCAAGGTGAGTGCGGTGGACGTGTCCATTTACCTCGCTTCTGAGATGAAGATGCTCGGTGGATTCGCTCTGGGTTTTCTGGCTTAGCAATGTCCGTTTCTATGTTGGTCTCCAAGTGACCCCATTCTATAATCTTTATTTGG